TTCATTTTTTCGAACCGCGTAGAAGTTCGAGCTACCACTCTATCATTTTTTGATCACTTCTTTCAATTCTGACTAGTGTAGATGGGCTCAAGGGACAAAATACGCTAGTCATGACGCGTAAATGAGATATTTCGGATTTGTCCAGACGGTATATGACTGCATAATAATATTCTTTTGCAAACCTGACAAGGCATGACGGATTATAAGCAAATTTCAGACTAATCATGATCGCTATTTTCAATAGATTTCGGCCTATCTAGTGCTATATCGTTACCTTATTGACTGATGTCCAGTCGCACGTCATTTTACTGACGCAGACGCGCGGCAGTATCTTTTTTCAGACAGGCAAAATCGTATTTGTCTAGAACAATGTGCCAGACGCCCGTCCGGTTCACATACGCAAACGGTTTCATAACACACCTTTTAGATTCTCGAAAACTCCATTTCGGTTTCTGAAAATACTTATTTAGGCTTCCGAAACTTTTTTTCGAAAACCGAATGATTTTCGGAGACCAAAAAGGTATTGTCAAAAACACATCAGGGTTTCTGAAGTCTGTTGGGAAACGTTTGTAGGTTTTCGAAATAGTTTCCGAAAGAGTCTGGGTTTCCAAAAAAATACTTTTGTTTTAGAGAGTAGAACGTGATTGCTTGCAAACTTGAAGTATGTTCTGCTATACAGCTATCCAACTAATAATTTGCACACAATTTTCCTTGTTAGCACTTTTGCAACATGATGTTCATTTTGGCTCTGTGACTGTTGATCTATATGCCTGGAAAAAGATAGTTATAGTCAGTAAAGATATTTTCCTTATAAAGATATACTTTTGCAAAAATAATCCATATTCTGAAAGCGCTCGGAACTCTCTATCATCCTAGAAAAATATTTCAAGTACAGTGAAGACACCCTCATCCTCAGATTCCCACAAACTGAGTTTTTTTCCTTTTCCAGCCGTTTTTTCGAGTTTATTGGGATTATAGAAACACATTTATACAAAAATAATTATATAGTCGGATAGAACTTGAAATTTTCTATCACCCTGTACTTTGCCAGCCTTGACTTGAATTATTTGCTCACAAACATTTCGAGTATTGTTAATATACCCACGGATCACATTCCTACACGGTGAAAAAAAAACCGTAAAATTCATAACCATCGAAAAAAAACCGTATAGAAGAACCATGAAGTAAAAAACTACATTATGAAAACCGTAAAGTGCAAAAGTATAAAAGAAAAACTATGGAAGTAAAATCGTCAAGGTTAAAATCATAGAAAAAAAACTGTCCACTTTCGAACCGTCGAAGAAAAACCGTAAAATAAAAACCGTCAGTTTCAGAACTGTACAATTAAAACCATGAAAAAATATCGTAAAGGTCAAAACTGTAGAAATAAAATCATGAACTGACAGTTTGTCAAAGGAAAACAATTAAAGCAAAAGCGTGAGGAAAACCGTGAAAGCACTTTCATGCTTTTTAGTTGACGGTTTTGTCGAAGCTTCAAAATTCATTAAAATATATGCAGTTTCAGTCGTCAGCACGTCAGAAAGTCTTCCTAATCAACTAACATAAGTTTAATAGAGTGAGCCTTGAGCTTCTCGACAAATCTATCTCACGCTCAGGATTATTCAGTAAAGAGCATAGCCGAGTAGATAAGTGAGTAAAACTGGCACTTGGGACAGGGAGGAGGGGAAGACGTCTTCCAGCGCATGTTTCTGCAAAATATGCCTGTTTTGTGGTCACTTATCTACTCGGCTATGCTCTTTACTGAATAATCCTGAGCGTGAGATAGATTTGTCGAGAAGCTCATTAGAGTGAAATCAAAGGGTATGCTCTTATGCTTCGAATGGTGATCTTTCTATTCGCGTACTATAAATTCGCTGTTATCATATTTTCTTACACAAAAAGTGATTTTATTAAAATTTATCTGAAGAAGAAAAAATTTAACTTTTTCGCTTTCGCAGAAGAAAAGAAATGATACTCGTTTTTGGTTCAGAAGTGATAGAAGAATTATTGTGATCTAAGATAAAACAAATCCGACCGCAAAATATTTGTTTTTGGCTGAGCTATAAAAAGTTTCCTAAACTGTACTTGGAAAATGATAAAATCTGGAAAAACTGAACAAAAGGAAAGAATTCTTTCTCAAACGCTTGTAATTACGAAGAATCTTGAATTTAATCAGTTGATAAAGCTTTTGAAATGCTACAAAATAGATGCAGTTTCATCTTTTATATCCGAAGATAAAAGGAAGTAACATTGGATACAGTGTTTTTTTGGTTGGAAAGTAACAGCTTGAAGCGTAGCGGCGAGCCTTCCAAATTGAGACCATTTTTGTGATAAAATGTGGCCTCAATTTGGACGTCTTAATTAACATTAGAGGGTGCGAAGCTGAGTGAGGGTGAGTAAAAAAGTAGTGGTCTCAATTGAGAAGTAGCCATTAGCAGTATTTCTTCCATCAAATTTTTTATAGGAAGAGAAAGTCTTGAGGGTCAGAATTGAGGTGAAAACAGTCAGATGATATTCTGAGAGTTGAAAGTGAGGAGAGAAAAGAGTATACAGAGTGTTATTAAAAAGTCATAGGCTTCGCATGGAAATAATATTAGAGACATGATGTTATTTCATTGCTGCTCTCCTTCCTATAACAAGCGTCTAATATCAAATATCGATAGTCAGAATTAGAATCGACATGTACATTCAGCTCGGTTACACGCTCAGCAAAGCCAGTTTGAGATTGGTGTGATTTCCAGTTTGGCCTTTGTCATGCAGTTAATTAAAAACTGTAACTAAAAGAAAAAACTAGAAACCCGCAGTTGCCAGTTTTATTTTATGACTAGACCTTCAAGCAACACAGCTCTTTTTTCGTTTAGGATTTCGGCTAAGCCTTGTTCAACAGTCGTTCCACTAAAACATCCCGTATTCCGTTCACATTCTCAAGAAAAACAGACTGATTTTTCGCGGAAACATGGCCGTGTAATACGAGAAATGTTTGATTTGATTCAAAGTAATCACCATTCTACATCAACAGTTCGACAAGAATACCAATCAACGCCTTTTACATCATTAAGCACCAAAAGCCGTTCATCATTACAATTGAATAAATCCAAGTATCGTGATTTCGATATGGGCATGGAAAACGAGGAAGATATACTACCAGTTGATCACATCATTACACCTCAGCGATATGTACATAATATTTCTGATACACGTCATAAATCGTCATCACGTACAAATATTTCATCGCAGTATCCTAAAACAGTGACAGAATTTGATCGACTTTGTGATGGTATAGGCATGGACCTATCTTCATCGTACAAGGTTCCTTCTACAACAACAGATGATAATTACTTTGAGAGTGTGAGTATGTTATCTCTCGACCGTCGAACATTAACGGATCAATCAAATGATAGCGATGCACAAGTCGATTTTACAGCCACACAGTTTCAATCAATTGTGGAAAGAAACGCTAAAGTGATCAAATGGCTATTTAACATGAAAAAAGCAAATCAATCCCCCATAGGATGTTAGATTTCTATACGTTTATTTCTGAAGCTTTGACACGTGTACAGCGGATAACAGAAAAAAGCAGAGATAACAAGAAAGCGAAGCTAGCGAAAAATAATAGATGTGTCTAGGCTAAAATTTTTATTGAAGAGTAAGGTAGTTTCGGAACACTTTCTGCTCACAACATTGAGCATTTTCAATAAAAAATGACACGAAAATCAATTTATTGTTGACAATCAGTTTGACATCAAATAAAATCTAATTAGTAACAAAGTTTTTGCAACTGTCGTTTTCTGTGAAGAACATTGACTCGTAAAATATTCGTGTTGACTACGGGTCGACGCTGTTCTTTGTAAGATCACATCGTATTTTATCGTTAATATAGTCATTTGAGATGGCTGCATAGTTTGATGGTTAGCTGCTATTTATAGAAAAATGGTTTCTACCTTCTGTCAGACTCTTGTGCATGGGTTAATTATATCTATGGATAATGCTGTATGTTTACTCATCTTCTAATTTGAATATTCTCAAGTCACAATAGTCTTTATGTAGCTAGTTAATAACTGTGTATATAACAAGAGTTGTGCGATCCAAAATTGCACAACTCTGATAAAATACAGACACTATCAGATGAGCTAGTGATGCTCTAGTGAATGTACTTGAAGCCGGGAAGTACTTGACAGGTTTCTTTGTTTACTAAGCATTTGAATAAGAACTTGACAAGTCCCATGTAAGCAAAAGACGGGTGAAATGACTAGTCTTTCTTCCTAGTCCGGACAATCGTCCCGACGTTACGACAAAAAAGACCCCGTCATGACTATAGTCAAAAATTTTA